CGCTCCCTCGCTCAGGCTCGCTCCCTCGCTCAGGCTCGCTCCCTCGCTCAGGCTCGCTCCCTCGCTCAGGCTCGCTCCCTCGCTCAGGCTCGCTCACGTGGCTCGGCGCTCCAATGCCCGCGAGCCCAGACGTCGGAAGCGCGGCGGGGTGGGGCGGCGGGGACAGGGCGGTCCCTTGGGGGCGGGGCAGAGGGAGGAGGGAGGCCCGCGCTCTCTGGCACGCCGAGACCCCGCGAGCCATCATGGAGCGCCTGCTACCGTACCCACGGGTGCCGCTGCAGCAGCGAGGGCAGCTAGGGAAAAGTTGGGGCTGAGGCCGGGGCCTCCATTTATCAGACCCTGAGAACCTCGTTCTCCCCAACTCCCGGGTCTTTAAACCCCCTTTTCGTGGTCAGCGCCGGGGGCCGTGTGGACCGCGACCCAGCCGGACGATGAGCCCGTCTAGTCGCTCCGGAGGCTGAGCCCGCAGCCCCGCAACCCGGCTTTCCTCTTCAGGACCACCCTCCATGGCCTTCCTGGGCACTGCGGGGGCAGTCGACAGGCCTGCGTCCCCGCCCCTGGGAGTCCCCCCGGCCGCATGCTCCTCGTCATCGTCCTCCGCTTCCTCCTGCGGCTCGTCCTCGGCGGCGGCGGGCGCCGGGCGCCTGTGGGCCGCGCTCTACGACTACGAGGCGAGCGGCGAGGACGAGCTGAGCCTGCGGCGCGGCCAGCTAGTGGAGGTGCTGTCCCAGGACGCCGCAGTTTCGGGCGACGAGGGCTGGTGGGCCGGCCAGGTGCAGCGGCGCCTCGGCATCTTCCCCGCCAACTACGTGGCGCCCTGCCGCCCTGCCGCCTGCCCGTCGCCGCCACAAGCCCTGCCGCCGCCGCGGCCCGGTTCGCCGGTGCACATCGAGTTCGAGCAGCTGGAGCTGAAGGAGCTGATCGGCGCCGGCGGCTTTGGGCAGGTGTTCCGGGCAACCTGGCAGGGACAGGAGGTGGCGGTGAAGGCGGCACGGCGCGATCCAGAGCAGGACGCCGGGGCGGCAGCCGAGAGCGTGCGGAGGGAGGCGAAGTTGTTCTCTATGCTACGGCACCCTAACATAATCCAGCTGCGCGGAGTCTGCCTGCAGCAGCCCAACCTCTGCCTGGTGCTCGAGTTCGCCCGTGGGGGAGCGCTAAACCGCGCCCTGGCAGCTGCCGCGGAACCCCGCGCCCCGGGTCCGCGCCGCGCGCGCCGCTTCCCCCCGCAAGTCCTGGTCAACTGGGCGGTGCAGATTGCGCGCGGCATGCACTACTTGCACGAGGAGGCCATCGTGCCCATCCTGCACCGGGACCTTAAGTCCAGCAACAGTAAGTGAGAGGCGGTGCAGAGCAGTCCTGGGGATGCGGAGGAAGTTGGGGAGGGCATTGCCGGCTAGGACTCACAGGCCAGGAATGCCACGGTGCCCAGCAGGCCACCCCGTGCATCCCAGGGTGGACCCGTCCAAGCAGGGTGCCTGGTGGCAGGGTGTGGGGATCAGCGCTTAAGGCGCCTGGAGCAGCCTTGCGGGACTCAAAAGTCCACCTAGACCGGGGTGACTCGCGTAGGGGCAGATAACGCGCTTACTTTGACTTGTTGCCTTAGGGTGCTTGTTTAAAATGGAATCAGATTTGCTTGTAGATGAAGTAGTTGAAAACTGTATGGATCTTCGGGAAACCTCACGGGTTTGGCTTTTAGGTACAATCGATTATTTGTTTGGATTAGGCTTCGTAGACTGAAGGCTTCCTCCGATTGTGAGGAACTCATGGCTCCCATTCATGGATAATGGCTTTCAGCAAGTAACCCCCTTTCCTTTAGCTTTACAAATGCTGTTCAGAGGTTGCTATTCTCCCACTTAAGAAGCTCTGGTAGCACAGTGCCTAAGACATCTGACTGCTAACCAGAAGGTTGGTGGTTCAAACCCACCAGCCACTTCACAGAAGCAAGACTGGGCAATCTACTTCCGTAAAGATTTACCTCCTCGGAAACCCAGTGGGAGTCGCTATGAGTCGGAATCGACTCCACGGCAGTGGGTTTGGTTTTGGTTTTTTGGTTTATTCTCCCACTTGAGTGTGGCCTTGTGTTCTTAGACTTTTCTAAAGACTTTTCATCTCTGCAAATAAAGTATGATTTTATTATTGATTCGGTGGCTTGACTATTGGTGAACAGTCTTCAGTCAAGAATCAGTTTGTGTTATACACGTGTGGGTTTATTGAGAGCAAGTGTATTGTCCTTGAACAGGCATTCGAAATCCTTAAAACCTGGCCTGCATGATTTAGCGTATTTATAAATCAGGATGGATTTTCCAGATGTCAATAAAGAACTGACAAATGACTTAAATACAAACCGTATTGCGTTTCACTGTATAAAAGAGCTAGTAGAATAGATATTTGAAGTTAGTTCTTTAATATTGAAGCTCACTTCATATGATAGTCTTAGAATAAAATGAAATTCCATGACAGATTAAAGGATACAGCCAGAACTGACATTGTCCTAGTATAACAGCATGGCTTTCAACCTTGTAAAACCTGCTAGGACAGGTGCTAATGCAAACTGAAACAGTGTCCTTCCTGAAGTCTGCTAGAGGAAAAATGACAGGAATAAATGATGTATTTGTTGTATGTGGTGATGTATTCTTGGAGCTTCTAACAGGGGTCAGATAAAGGACCCTAGAATTAAGATAGCACACTTTTCAATGTACTTTTATTTATTTATTTGTAAAGGCTTCAAACCTGACATAGTCTTCACTGCCAGTTGATAGTGATTCCCTAAGTATACCTTTATTTAAAGAGATATTTAACCTGCTGCCATAAAACAGTGGTGTTCTGGAAGTCTGGGTCCTGTCGGCCCTCTCCCACCAATGCCTGTGAGCTTTGTGTCTGCTGGGAGTTTTCTGCAGAACCAGGCATTTAAGGGACAGCAATATCATCATTCTCTCATCTATCTTTTTTGACCTTTATAGCATTTCTGTGATAAAATGACACCTGGGATTCCACAAACCTATTCTGTTGCAGAACATCACATCACCAACACAGGCAAACAATTTAGGTTAGTTCTTAGACCAAAAAGTTAAAGGACCTATAAACTTTTTTATTTTTATTTTTTGCAGTTTGCAGTTTAGTGTCATAATAATTCTTGACATCTATTTTGTGAGTGCATGAGGTGGAGTGTGTTTGCTAGTAGTGAAAGCACAGGAGTGGAGCTTGACCCATGTGACTGTTGTTGCGTATAATAAACTTCTAATATAAAATAAAAGCTTTTAAAGAAAACCTTTTGTTAGGTGCCATAGATTTGGTTCCAACTCACAGTGATCGTATGTAAAATAGAACAAAACACTGCCCAATCCTGGACTATCCTCACAATTGTTGCTATGTTTGAGCCCATTGTTTCAGTCACTGTGGCAATCCATCTGGTTGAGGGTCTTCTTTTTCACTAATTGTCTACTTCCCAAGCATGATGTCCTTCCTGATAACATGTCCAAAGTACATGAGATGCAGTCTCTCCATCCTGAGTTTTAAGGAGTTTTGGGCTGTACTTCCTCCAAGAGAGATTTGTTCATTCTTGTGTCAGTCCATGGTATATATTCAATGTTCTTCTCTATCACCATAATTCAAAGGTATCAGTTCTTCTTTGGCTTTCCTTATTGGTATTATCCAGCTTTCATATACATGTGAAGCAATTGAAAGTACCATGACTTGGGTGGGTGCACTGTAGTCTTAAAAGTGATATTTTTGCTTTTTAACATTTTGAAGAGGTCCTTTGCATCAGATTTGCCCAATGCAGTACATTGTTTGACTTCTTGAAAGCTGTTTTCCATAGGCATTAATTGTGAACACAAGTAAAATGAAATGCCCAACATTTTCTCCATTTGTCATGTCATTGGTTAAGTTGTGAGAAATTTTGTTCTCTTTATGTTGAGGAGTAATCCATACTAATCTTCATCAATAAGTGCTTCATCAGTAAGTCCTCTTCACTTTCAGCAAGCAAGGATGTGTCATCTGCCTGTCCAGATTATTAATGAATGTACCTCCAATCCTGACGCCACATTCCTCTTCATAGAGCCCAGCTTCTTAGAGTATTTGCTTATCATATGATTGAATAAGTATAGTGAAAGTATACACTCTGATGCACATCTTTCTTGATTTTAAACCATGCAGTATCCCCTTGTTCTAATTCAAATGCCTATCTGTGGTTCTGTGTACAGGTTCTTCATGTACACAATTAAGAGTTCTGGAATTCCCGTTCTTCTCAATGTTATCCATAATTTATTATGATCTACAGTTGAAAGCCTTTGCATAGTCAATATAACACAGGTAAGCATCTTTCTGTTATTCCCTTCTTTCAGCCAAGATCCATCTAACATCAGCAGTGATATTCCTTATTCCTTGCCCTCTTCTGAATCTAGATTGAATTTCTGGCAGTACCCTATCTGCTGCAACCATTACTGAATTATCTTTAGCAAAATTTTACTTGCGTGTGATATTAATGATATTGTTCGGTAATTTCTGCATTCTGTTGGATCACCATTCTTGGAATTGGCACAAATATTGTTCTCTACCAGTCAGTTGGCCAGGTAGCTACCTTCCAGATTTCTTAGCATACACAAATGAGTGCTTCCAGCTTTGCATCTCTTTGTTGAAATATCTCAGTTGGTATTCTGTCAATTCCTAGAGCCTTGCTATTTGCCAGTGCCTTCAGTGCAGCTTTAGCTACTTCCTTCCATCAATTCTTGATTATATACTACCTCCTGAAAAGGTTGAATGTCAACCACTTCTTTGTAGTACAGTGATTCTGTGTATTCTTCCATCTTTTGATGATTGTGGTGTCATTCAATATTTTACCCATAGAATCCTTCATTATTGCAATTTGAGGCCTAAATTTTTTTCTTTAGTTCTTGCAGCTTTGGAAATGCTGGGCATGTTCTTCCCTTTTGGTTTTCTAACTCCAGGTCTTAGTATATATCAGTGTAACACTTTACTTTGCCTTCTTCAGCTGCCCTTTGAAATCTTCTCTTCAGTTTTTTTATATCATGATTTCTTCCATTCGCTTTAGACACTCCAAGTCCTAGAGGAAGTTTTACTGTCTTCTGACATCCATTTTGGTCTTTTCTTTGTGTCTTGTCATTTTAATGATCTCTTGCTTTCTTCGTGTGTGGGTATCGATACCTTGATGTCATCCCACAACTGGTCAGATCTTTAGTGCATCATATGTATTCTTGACACGCTTTTTAAATTCAGGTGGGATATACTCAGATTGTACTTTTGACTCTCAAGTGCTTGTTTTAATTTTCTTCAGCTTCAGCTTAAACTAAGGAGCTCTGGTGGCATAGTGGTTAAGCATTTGGCTGCTAACCAAAAGGTCAGCTATTCTAAACCACCAGCTGCTCCATGTGAGAAAGATGGGGCAGTCTGTTTTCATAAAGAGTTACAGCCTTGGAAACCGTATGAGGCAGTTATACTCTGTATTATAGAGTGTCTCTGAGTCAGAATCGACTCAGTGGCAGCAGGTTTTGGTTTTGGTCAGCATGAACTTGCATATAAGCAATTGGTTTATTCTGCAGTTGGCCTCTGGCCTTCTTCTGACTGATGATATTTAATTTCTCTTATCATCTCTTTCCACAGAGGTAGTTGATTTAATTTCTGTATATTCTGTCTGGTGAAGTCCACTTGTGAAGTCCCCTTTTATGTTGCTTAAAATGGTATTTGTAGTGAAGAAGTATTGGTTTAGTAAAATTCTGTCATGTTGTCTCTGGTGTCATTTCTATCACCAAAGCTATATTTTCTAATTCTTGATCCTTTGTTTCCAACTTTCGCATTCCAATCTCCAGTAATTATCAAAGCATCTTGACTGCATGTTCAATCAGTTTCAGATTGTAGAGGTTGGTAAAAATTGTCAGTTTCTTCATCTTTGGCATTAGTGGTTGGTACGTAAATTTGAATAGTGCTTGTATTAACTGGTCTTCCTTGTAGGCATATGGATATTATCCTATCACTGTCAAAGAATTCCTAAAACTGTTAAATTGTTGTTGTTGTTGTTATGTGCCGTCGAGTCATACCTGACTCATAGCGACCCCTCCTTGGGTTTCCAAGGCAGTATCACTACGGAAGTAGGATTGCCCAACCTTCCTTCCGAGGAGTGGCTGGTGGGTTTGAACCGCCAGCCGTCTGGTTAGCAGGCAAGTCTCTTAGCCACTATGCTACCAGAGCTCCTAAAACTGTTAAATAGTAAGAAGAAAAATATGACCCTGTAATAATAGCTAATTTAAATAGTTTTTTATTGATACTAAAAAAACTTATAGTACTATGTGTATGGTAGATGTTATGTAATTTGA